TTTTTTTTAAAAAAAAGGAAAACAAAAAAAAAAAAAAAAAAGGAAATCATCAATACTTCTTTAATCTCAGTGAAGGATGTTCCAATATTTTAAAGCTTATTTGTGATTTTCTGTATTTTTGAAATGTTGTATTACAGGGAAAATTCTATTGAAATAATAGGTACATTAATTCCAGAAAACTTTCATCTCCCCAGGAAGAGCCCTACTAGTCACTAGCACATTCTTCTAAATTCCTCACCTCCTCTCTCCAGTCAAGCACTGACTTACTTTCTCCACAGACTCGCCGCTTCTGGACAGTTCATATACCTGCTGCATATTGTGCGGTCTGGCTTCTTTCACTTAGAAGAATGTGTTCCTCCAGATGATCTAGCCAGTGGGATCTGTCAGTATTTTATTCCTTTTAGAAGCCTTAATCATATTGTAATGTACAGGCACTTCATCTTTTGTGCAACCATTCGTTAGTTGGTGGACATTTGTCTTGTCCCTGTTTAGCAGATAGGAAAAACACTGCTGTGAATGTACATGTACACTTTGGGTGGCTTTGTTTCAGTATCCTTGTGTATGTACCTGGGAGTGCAATTGATAAAGTGTGCGATGGGTCTCCACGTACAGATTCCAGATTCTTGTGTACACAAAGCAAAGAGCTGCAAGTACACATTCGATGGTGAAAGAAAAAAAGCAGCTACATTTATTGAAGTTAATCGGGCTGGTGTGCCAGCAGAAACAAAAAGACTGCATGAATCGGGGAAAAAGCATGCTGGGTGGCAGGGAGAACAGGAAGGTGAAGGATAAGTCAGGCTTTAGGATTTAAAAGATGTGACCCCACCCAGGGAGCCTCTCACTGGGTCTCTCTGGATACGATTGACAAAGTGATGGATGGGGTGGATGCTGAGTCGTCTCAAGGGCGTCTAGTATGCGTGACTCCCCCATGGTTCACCCAGTTACCATCACACTTATGACATGCAGTCCCTACGCATGCACCTTTAATGAGTTTTGGGTGGGAAAAGTCACTGTAGGTGGGGCCACTGTATCTCCCACCATGCGTGTGCTCTGGCTCGAGCTGTAGAAATGTCCTGGGTCTCTGCTATTCTTATTTCTGCTTCCCTTAGGACCATGGAAGGAGGATGGGCTCTGGGGAGCCCCCCAAGCTTGGTGGATGGAGGGGAAGCAGTTCCCCAGCCCCAGCCCCAGCCCCAGTGCTACCTGCACTAAAATGCTCATGCTGTGCTAAGCTTTTGTTTTGTTTTGGTTTTTTGAGACAGGGTCTCACTACATAGTTGAGACTGAGCTGGAACTCACTATGTAGCCCAGGCTGATCTCAAACTCACAGCGATCCTCCTGCCTCAGTCTCCCGAGTGTGGGATTATAGGCGTGCACCGCCACACCCGGCTTGTGCTAAATTTTTTGACAAACCACCGTGCTATTTTCCAAGGTGGCTGCACTATCCATATTCCCATAACCGATGTAAGTGTATTCTGATTTTTCCATGTTCTCACCAACCTTCGTAGCTGTCCATCTTTTTGATGATTGCTGCCTTAGTGGAAATGAAATGGTCCCTAGTTATGATTTTGACTTGTGTCTTCCTCACGATTAATGATGTTCAGCATCTTTTCATGAGCTTATTAGCCATTTGTATGTCTTTTTTTGGAGAAACAGCTGCTCACATCCTTACCCTAGTTTTAAAGGTTGGGTTTTCTTTTGTTGTGGAGTTGTAGGAGTTCTTTTTATATTCTGGATACATCTTTCCTTTTAGATATATGATGACCAAGTATTTTTCCTACTTTGTGGGTTGTATTCTTTTAACATGTTTTATAATTTTAGGTGTACAAAAAGACTTACACTTATTTTTGCAAATTTTCTCTTAAACATTTTATTCTTTTTGATGCTACAACATTATCGAATTTTTCATTAATTCTGTGTTTTCATTATTAATGTATAAAATAAAAATTATTTTTGTGTTGATTTATAAATAAGTTTATTTTTACATATTATTCAACTCACTTATTAGCTTTAACAACTTTTTGTGGATCCTTTACTTTTTTTATTTACAAGATCCTGACATCTTCCATTCTCATATGGATGTCTTTATTTCTCTTTATTATCTTACCTCTCTGGCCAGAACCTCCAATACAGGAGACAAGAGGGAACTTCTCTGACAAGTCCCTAATCTTAAGAGGAAAGAATTTAGTTAGCCATTAGTTATGATAATAGCTTTGGGGTTTTCACAGATGCTTTTATCAGAAATGCCTCTGAATCCCCAATTTATTGAATATTTTAACCATGTAAAAATGGTGTATTTTTTTCAAATGGTTTGTCTGTATATATTGAAGTAATTATGTGGTATTTATTTTTTTATTATACTGACATCATATAGTAAATTAATTTTCTATGGTCCTACTCAGCTATCTTCCAATCACTTTTCATAAATTTTTATTTTGAGACACAATCTCACTAGATCACTTAGTTACCCAGGTAGGTCACAAATTAGTGATTCTTGCATCTTAGCCTCCCAGAGTGCTGAGTTAACAGGCATGAACCACCATGCTCAGCTTACATTAGCTGATTCTTCATGTTGGACCGACTTTGCATTCCTAAGGTAAATCCCACTCCGTCATGTGTATAATTCTTTATACATTTCTGGATTTGGTTGACTAGAGTTTTTTCACCCATATTTGTAAGAGATACTGATATGCAGTTTTCTTTTCTTTTGGTGTCTTTGTCTAGTTTTGCTATCAGGGTATTACTGGTTTCTAGATTGAGTTTGGAGGTATAGCCTTCTCTATGATTTTTCAGATGAGTTTGTGAAGAATTGCTGTTTGTTTTCCTATAAATGTTAGAACCTACTAAGAAGCCATATGATCCTGAGCTTTTCTTGGAGGGTAAGTTTTTTTTTTTTAAATACTATTTCAAACTCTTGACTTGTTACAATCCTAATCAGATTTTCTACTTCATCTTGAATCAGTTTTGGTAGCTTGAGTCTTTCTAGGATTGTTTCCGTATTACCTAATATTTAATTTGTTGGAGATATATACACATATATGATCTCTCCTGGAGAATGATCCATTTGTACTTCAGAAGAATTTTTATTATGCTATTTTTTAGGTGGAGAGTTCTGTAGATGTCCCTTAGACCTAGTTGGTTTATTGTTTTGTTAAAACTTCTATTTCCAGCTCTGGTGTCCAGTTGTTTTACCTATTGTTGAAAGTGGCATTCATGTCTCAAAGTATTATTTTTGAATTGTCTATTTATCATTTGTTTTTTCTAAAGTGTATACCTCATAGAAAACATGTGGTCAGATCATTTTGCCATTCTGCTAATCTCTGGCTTTTATTTGGAGTGTTTAAAACATTTATATTTAATGCAATTACTGTTAAGTTAGGATTTCCTCCTGCTATTTGGTAATTATTTTTCCTGCAACCCTCTGAATTTTCTTCATTATCTTGTCTTCAGATAGTTTTTCCTGCCCTTCTCAGTCTCTCCTTTCCTTTGGGGACTCCATTATGTATATGTTACTGTGCCCTATAAGTCTCTGAGGTGCTGTTCATCTTTCTTAGTTCTTTTTTCTTTCTGTTCCTCTGACTGGTTAATCTCAAATGACCTGTGTTCAAGTTCTGTCATTATTTCTTCTGTCCGTGCAAACTAGCTATTAAGATTCTTAAATACATTTTTTAAACAATTCAGTGAAAAGAATTTTCAACTCTAACACTTTTATTTGGCTCTGAAATTATTTCTGTGTCTATATTGACATTCTCTGTTTTGTGAGGCATCATTCTCAAGTTTAATTTTTTATACCTGGTTTCTTTCTTTAGTTCTTTGAACATACAGCAGTTAATTTCGAGATTTTGTTTACTAACTTCAAAGTCTGAGTTTCTCAAGGACATTTCCATTGACTGATTATCCTTTCTTGTTTGTTTGTATGCTTTTTTTTTTTTTTTGCTGAAACTGGAAATTTAAAAAATATAATGTGGTAAACTCTAGACCAGATTTCTCTCCTGTTTTATAATTTCTTGTAGTTGTATATTTTACTGATTTTTCTGAACCGAGTCCATAAAATCTATAGTCTTTGTCATATATATCTACTGATGGCTCTGGTTGGTCAGTCATATTACTTTGCTAATAGTTAGAGAAATGTTCCTTTTATTGTCTGGAACCATTAAGTCCCCAGTAATTCTTGAAGGTGGTGGTAGTGTGTGTGTGTGTGTGTGTGTGTGTGTGTGTGTGTGTGTGTGCCGGGGCACTCTCTTAACATGCAGCCAGACAGTTGACAGCTCTGTGTTGGCCTTCACTTTCTGCTGGGGCCGAATTTGAGGATCATCCAGAGGTGAAAACTTGGGGTCTTCTTATCTGTCCTGAACAGACATGCAACTCAGCATGAACACAGCCCTAGACATGCACATAGATGGACATAGCCTTCTAGCTTCCCAAGAACAGGTTGGAGCTTATTAAAATCCCCATCAAAAACCCATTCCCCGTTTTTTCTTTTAGGCATCTCCATTAGTCTACTGCATGACCCAAAGGCTACCCATTGCTTCAGTGAGTCACACTGTTAAGCAATTGCCTCTAATTTTTTTTGACAAATACTTGTGGGAAAGATAATTGTTTTGTCTCAAAAAAAAAAAGAGCTCAGAATCAGGTCAAATAAAGATAGCCTTGCCAAACACAAAGAAATGACAAATGTTTAAGGCAAGGGAATTGCTAATTACTCTGCTTTTATTGTGGGACCCTAGATATTTAGTCCCCAAACCCTCCCCACTTAGCTTAACTAACTCCATTTTAAATTGGGATACCATAAAACAAAGTGCCAGAACCGACCCCCGGATGAATTCAGGCAGTAAAAATTTGCTCGGTTTGCTTAGTTTACTTAGTCACAATAAGAACAGAGTCAGGTGGATGGGAGGAAGGCAATTCCAACCTCAAAGAAGAAGAACAGGAGGTTCTATAGAGATAAGAAGAGCACACCGCATTCCTGAGCACAGTGACCTCTCTTTGAATCAGCCCCCTCCCTGATGTAATAATTTTCCCGCTTTTGCAAGTGCCTCAGCAACATCCAATAGATTTAAAATGTTCAAAAAAGAAGCCAATAGTATAGAGAGAATTTCAAGCCACCCTAACCCTATAAAATTAGGCTAAATAAGTGGGTCAGGACTTCCAGTTTGAAGCCACTGCATCGGTGACACTGGGAGTCCAGGCTCGAGCTTGCAATAAACTCCTCTTATATTTACATCAGAAGAGTTTCCTGGTGGTCTTCCTGGAGATTTTGTGACTTGGGCACAACATCATTGCATATTGTAAAATGTATCTGGTTATCACACTCTACCCCATAAATACACACAATTATTATGTATTATTTGAAATAAATGTAAGAAGAGGCAACTCTGGAAGCTGGGTCTTCCAAGGATGGATCGGATAAGTGAAATGATGATAGCTCTCTGGGAGTGAGGCTTTGAAGTCAGCTCAGAGCTGTCCCGCTGCTTCTGTGGTCTGTGCACTGATTTTCACTGTGATTGAGAATGGCCAGTTTCAAGGCTGGAAAAAAAGGCAATTTAAAATGCCACAAAGTTACTGTGCTCACACTTTGTTTTAAAATAAACATTTCCTGGGTGGTTGCAAGAATTGGTTAATTTTCAGGATTCTAAAAAAGTTGATTCTGATAAAAGTTTGTCTTTGGCCAGTTTTGTTGCTTTCCTGGGAGACAGAATTTTCAAAGTTCCTCCCTCTGCCATTTGCCCCGAGGTCACTCAGTCTTCACTTGAAGTTGATTTTATTTTACATAAATTTCATGACTTACTGAAATGTATATCTGTACCTTGAGGACTTGGTTTATTTTTAGGCAAAAATTTGTTTTTCTCAGTTAAAATGTGCTTTATGAAAAGAGCTTATCCTGCATCTGACTGGAATTTCCCATTGGGTAGAACTCTGAGTAGGGCACAGATTTTTGTGAAACCACTCTCATCTGATTTTCATGTGCTGAGGAGATAAAACGGCAGAGTGGCAGAGCCTAAGCTCTCTTTTCTTGGTAATCGGTACTGTTATTTCATTTTTCATCACGTAACAGTATCCCTGAGGCAAAGAAAGGAGATTTGTTTAGCTCACGGTTTTGCGGTTCCAGGGCATAGTGTTGGCATGCTCTGATGACGGTCCTTCAGGCCACATCACATCATTGGTGGGAACACGTAAGAGTGAGATCACCTCTTGAAAAAGGAAACCAGAGGAGACCGGAGCCCCATAATGCCTTCTAAAGATGGGCCATCAATTACCTATGAACTACTAGGCTCCACCTCTCAAAGTCCCACCACCTCCCAATACTTCCACCCCGGGGACCAAGCCTACAACACAGAAATCTTTGGTGCATATGGGGTGTCACATTTAATCATATCTAAACCATAACAGCTACTGATGTTAGATTTTCTGGGTTTGCCTGCAAGCTCAACTTTTGGTGAAAGCCTTTGAAAACCTCCTTTTGACAGAATGCAGAGTCTGGATGAGCCCTGGACTCAAGAGGAGGGAGACGGCCCAGACCACCCATACTACAACAGCATTCCCAGCAAGATGCCTCCTCCAGGAGGGTTTCTTGATGCGCGACTGAAAACCAGATCCCATGCTCCTGACACAGCCCAAGTAAGTCTTATGCTTTCCTCCTTGGATGGAGGCTTACTGAATTTCATTTCATTTTTTTTTTAGTTTTATTTCAGGATGACATTCCATTTAGCTTTTGACACAACCACACAAACTTTCTTTCATCGAAATTCACAAAGCATACAAGTAAGAGAGGCTTTTGTTTAATATCACAATGCATCAGCCAAGTGCCTTGGAATTACATTGTGATTCTTAAGATATGAGTCTGAGGAGTCCTTTCCATCTTAGTACATATCCTATAATACTGTACCCTTAGTGAGAGGAGGAGGAATTTCAAGATTTTTAAAAAAGAGAATGCATTATGAGAATGCATTTTTCTGTTTTCTTCATTCCTTTTCAACTCAAAAATTTCCCTTCAACTCAAAATTCCTATCTAACATTATGATATCTCTATCTTGTTATGTGATCATTTTTCCTTTTTTTTTTCTTTTTGGTGATGTTGGAAATTGAACCTAGAGCCTCCTGCATGCTAGGCAAGCACTTGATCCCAGCCCTAGAAACTTTTTAACATTGCCTACTTATGCAAATAATAATTACTTCAATAAAAACGACAAGCTAACATCGAGATCAGAGATCTGACACTGAGCAGGAACTTCCTGGCTTCGTGGGGTGGACTCCCCCAGGTGTACGTGACTGTGGGTGTGTGTTGGTGGGAGGAGGCTGCTGGTTCACAGGCACTGTAGCTGAAGTTCACTTTAGGGGATGCTGAGTGAAGTGACTACTTAGGGAAGAACTCTTTATGGTCACAGATAGGCCATGGGCATCATTCAAAACAGGAGCAGCATGTAGGGTTTGATGAGAAAGCTGCCTTTCCCTCGCACCCACATAAATTTATTTGTTAAATTGTAATGTGAACTGTGAGGCGTGAAGAGAAAATTGGGTATAACAGGATGCGGTCAGCCCATCAATATCCCACCTAGTGTTGCTTTTTTTTTTTTTTTTTATTGGGTGATTGGACTGAGGATCTTTGTATTGAGCTATATCCCCGGCCTTTTTAAAGTTTTGATTTTGAGACAGGGTCTTGCTAAGTTGCTAAGTTGCTCGGGCTGGGCTATAACTTGTGATCTTCCTGCCTCAGGCTTCCAGAGTGCTGAGGTTACAGGTGTGCATCACCAGGCCTGGCTTACACTATGGCTTTTAAAGATGGGGAATGAAAAGAGGATAATTCTTTTTTGTTTCCTTGTATTTACACCTGTCTGTAGTTTGCAGGAAAAGAGCAAATTTATTACCAGGGAAGACATCTAGGAGATGCTTTTGGCGAAGACTGGCAGAAAGCACCCAGCAGGCAAGGTGAGAGGGGCAAAACACATCTGGAACAAGGGAAGTACTCACCAGTGGTTACCGCTTCCTGTGAGCAACACTGTGGGCGCCTGGAAATATGTGCTGTGGCCATGATGAGAGCATGGAAACACAGCAGTACGGATCCTGTGCTTCCCAAGCACCAGTCGGCTCACACCTGTGAGCGTTAAAGTCCTTCTGCACCCTGGAGGCTGACCTCCTACAGCCTCCTTTGCACAGGTGCAGGGTTGCTGAGGAACTGATATTCCCCCAGCACCCGCACTCATTTCAAAGGGGAGTTGGAAAGGCAGCTCTCAAATGTGTCTTATGCCAAAAAGCTCCGAGCTCCCCCTCCAGGTGAGCCCCAGTGCCTCCAATGGAAAGTGTTACCCTTCCTTCCTTGTCTAGCTCCTGTTTTCCCTCCACCCCCTGCTCAGGGGGCGGCATTAGGAGGAGTTTAGACACCTTCCTCAGCTGGGGATGGATAGCAGAAGCAGCATAGGTCTACAGGAGTCCTTCCCAGGCCCTGAGCATGTTAGGAGGACACACCTGTGTCTTAGCAAACCGAACAATGCATGCTGTATCACCTGCTAAAAATAACTTAGAAGTTTCTAATTAGGTGCAACTATATCTACTTCAGATATGATTATGTTATCTAGATATCCAAAAGCTGTTTAGATGTATTCACATATAACTGTAAAGCTTACTTGCAATTATCTAAGAACTACTAATTGTTCACATAAGTCTTAACTTTCTAGTTATTAATATACACATAAGTGTGTACATTCATTTCTGTTTCCTCCCTCATTCCTTTCCTTCTTTTCTCTTTGCTTCCTTCCCTCCCTTCCTCCCTCCCTCCCTCCTCCCTCCCTTTGAGCCGTCTATCTAATCTGTCTACCCTTTAAAAATTTCTTCTAATTTAAAAGTTTCCCCCTTCTCTGAGGGTCTGCTACTAAGTCTATGGGGTCTGAATGGGATGGAGCCAGTGATTCCTCTAGGAATGAAAATTCGGCCATTTATTGGCTGAACATTAGTCTTATCCCTTCATTATAGAGCATTTATGCTAATGAGCAAATGACAGTAAGTTTCTCATCTTTTCTCCACATGAAGGAATGTCATGTTTTGTTTGTCCCAGCTCTGAAAGATCCCATTAGTAGTCCAGGCAATGAAATGTAAGGCCTGACTAAGGCCAGCATGAGGCTTTGCCTCAAAATTGGGTAGAGATAGCAAATCAAAGGTTTATTTATTTGGTACCGGGGATCGAATTCAGGCCTTGCACCTGAAAGGCAGGTGGCAGCACCACTGAGCTAAATCCCTGGCCCTCCAAGATTTATTTTTACTAGAGGTATTTTTTTTCATCCTGAACTATTCACCTGTGTCCTGTATACATTTAAATGTATTCATGTAACATATGCATACATAGATGTAATTGTTAGAGACTAAAGAGGATGCATTATTTCTGCTAGATATTTGTGTTATTATAAATGATGTCAGGTCAGATTTACTTAAAAAGTACTTTTTTGATACACTTTCAAGTTATTGCGGCCAGGTCTAGGGCACAGAACTCAGCAGAATCACCAGAGCAAATGACCCCTGGCCAGAATGTGAGACTCATAACTCTCAGCAAGTTTCAAACTCTAATTGGAAAACAGTAAATATTTTTCCATAAAACAAATTTGAACAACACTCATTAATTTCTAGTAGCCCTTCCTCTTAGACAAAGAAGAACTCAAAGTGCCACTGTGACATATGAATTTGGCTGGCCCGGCACCTCCTGTTTTTTGCAGTTGGAAAGACTGGCAGGAAGGTTATTTATGGACTTTTAATCTTATCCTTTTTTAAAAACTGGGAATTGAACTTACGGCCTTGTGCTCATAAGGCAGGTGCAATGCCACTGAGGTAAATCCCTGGCCCTTGATTTTATCCTTTTTTTTTTTTTTTTTTTGGTACCAGGGATTGAACTCAGGTCCTTGTGCTTATGAGGCAGGTGGCCGCACCACTGAGCTAAATCCCCGGCCCAGTCTTATCCTTTTTGAAATTAGTTTGTGAAGTTCTTTTTGAAAGATAGGGTTGTTTGTTTGCAACATATATACAAACCTGTAAACTGCAAATAGCAGTTACTAAGTAAGGACAGGTGATTGAGAAACAGCCTCTTAAATGTAGATATTGCATGTAAGAAGAAGAGAGTAGAAGCACAGTTCCTGATTCTGCAGGATTCATCCCCAGTGAAGGGGACTAGAACAATACCTCACTGTCTCACAAACGGGTTGGGAGATGGTGGCATGCTGGCAGACATCCAGTAACAGGCTCTTGGGGAAGATTTTTAAAAATCCACCGACTGACTCTTGCCAGCTCTGCTGAGCTGTCTGTAACATATTACCACCCCTGGGGTATGAAATACACTCTTTCTGGAGATGCTTATGTAAGTGGCTTGGAGAAAGAGCTCAAAGAGAAAGAATGATCCAAGCAGGCATTTTTGGGTAACCCTTTTATTCCACCTTTGGGGGACAGAACAGTTGGGATCCTGGGTCTGTCCTTAGCACCCCTGCAGCCAGCTAGGAAGTCCCCCATAAGGCAGCTCACTGCCTCCTGCTCTAGTTGGCCCCAAGGCAGGATGGTATGGCAGAGGGGCAGAGTAGAGAGAGGAGAGACTCCTCTACCCTGAGCTCACCCTAGACCCCCATCAGGGTGACAGCTGTGTTTTGTGAGGAAGGTGTTTCAGTGTGTTAGGAGATGGTCCGGAATTCATAAAGCATTCATTGACATGTAACCGGAGAGCCAGGAAACTAAGGCTTATGATTCCTCTGCTCAGCCATTGGATCCTGGAGTGTTTGGAAAGGAGAAGAGGAGGTGGGCCATCTTCTGCCTGCTAGGCTTGCCAAGGTCTTAGGGCAGTGTGGCCCAGAATCTTTGGCAAGGCTCCTACCCAGCTTGGTGTCCACCCTGGCATTGGCTGGAGGTCCCATTTTGACAGGAAGAACTGGGAAGCATCCTTACCAGGTGTCACGTTTAGATAAAAAATGGCCCAGAAAGCCTCAGCCGTTTGGAAGATGATTGGACAATGGGGGCTAATGGCTGACCAGGTGTTAGTAGGCGGGGTCCAATCAGAAGAGGTCGTGCACTAGGACTGTGACCTGGAGGGCACCTCTCCCTCCTGGCTTCTCCCTTCCTCTCTGCTTTCTGGCTGGATGTGAGCAGCTTTCTCTCTACTCCGCCCCTCTACTGTGCCATCCTGCCGTGGGGCCAGCCAACTATCGACTAAAACCGTGAGCCGAAATAAATCTCTCCTCCTTTAAATTGTGGGCATTTTGTCCCAGAGACATGGATAGTGACTATGATGCCAGGACATGGCAGAAACAGTCTCAGAAGAGGAAATTTAACTGATGGCGTTTTCTCTGCAGGAAGAATTTTCTGAGGAGTGAGTAGGTTTACGGAAGCCCTCTGTTCTGTGCTGGGTGGCCTAACCACAGAACCCTGAGGGGTGTGACCATCCTAAGAATCTAAGGTCCCTTTCTTGTTGCAGGGTCCTTGGACATCTACAGCATGCCAGAAGGGAAAGCACCTGTGCCCCCCATGGGAGAGGGACCCACCTATGTCAACACCCAGCACATCCCCCCGAAGGCCCCAGCAGCCATGGCCAGCAGCGCAGAGAGCAGCCCGAGGAAAGACCTCTTTGACATGAGTAGGCCTCCACTTGTCTTTCATTTTCTTTTCTTCTGAGCTTGCTTTTTACACTTGGCAATTACTGAGATTTCTGCTAGCAGGGCTTTGCTCACGGCGGTGATTGGCTGCACTGTTCTGGGCGATGATTGTGATTCCACATCCTTTTTTTGCAGTCAAGAGGCAGAGCCAACTTCCCTCTCTTTCTGGAGTTGATTTTCCTCTTAAAGACCTGCAAAAATGAGACAAACAGTATATACAGATAAATGTGTTCATTTACCTATTTATCTAAATATTAATAGACTGTTACACATCAACTAATGCATTATTTGCTAAGAATACTAAAATGAAATGGCCCATAATCACACAGCCCCCCCCACCAAATAAGACCAACATAAATAAACAAGAAATTGCAACACCCCTCTTTTATGCTTGTTCTTTTCCCTTCCTCTGCTCTCTCTCTCATTTTTCCTCTTTCTCTCTTTCCCGTCCTGCTCCCCAAAAGGTATTAACCATTTATCATGTATCAAATGCTTTCCTGTTTACTGAAGATACACAGGAAAACAAAACAGTCCCTACTCTTGAAAATTAAATAAACCACGAACTGTAGGGAAAGTGGGACGGGTAAGGCAAAGGTAATAAGGGAAAAGAAAAAAATATGAGAAAAAGAAAAAATGGAAATGAAGTGTTTGTAAAGGGGGAAGGGAGGACAAAACGAGAACCAAGACCTGTCATGTAGAGGTACAAGATCCCAATAATGAATGTAACTGTACTGTATCCCTAGAATGTACCAATAAACTCAATGATGAATAAATAAACAAACCACGAACTAATATCAGCTCGTGAGAAGTGCTTTTGCAAGCGATGAAACAGGACAAGGAGGGTGATGAGAATGCACTGTAGAGGGCAATCCAGTGGGATATGGGCCAGGGACTTCTGTTTGTCATGCGGATTGGGAAAATTAAATCATGTGCAAGCTGGGATAGAATGAAAGTGGACAAAAAGTTTTTTAAAGTTGGAAGAGCTTCCAAAGCTAATAAAATGTTTAATTCCTTGAGAAGGTGACAGGCTGAGGTCGGGGGTGGGAAAGGGGATGAGTGCTGGACAAGTTTCTGCTCTGTCAGGCGGGCGCTTGTTATTTTACTGTATCTCCTCAGCCACCCTACAGGTAGATAGTATAGTTCTTGTTGCTGTCGCTATTTTATGGAAGTGGAAACAGAATCCTAGAGGTTAAGTAACTTTGGCACGTGCAAAGGCAGGCTTTCTGGTCCAACGTTTGCTGTTCTTACGCGGGTGAGGACGAAGCCCTGACACTTTCAGGCAGCATCGCGACAACTGCACTCTGCTCCACTCAGACACCAAGGCCTCCCCTTTTAACAAAAAGCCCCTGAGCCAGGGGAACTGTTGGAACTCAGTGTTTAGAGGTACGTTGCAGATCACTTGATCCAATCCTTCATTTACAAAATGTGGAAACGGCTGAAGAAGTATGAAGCCACTTTCCCAAGTGGCAGATCGAAGTGGTGGCGATTCAAAGCCTCCACTCCGCTGTCATGTGATCTTCCGGCAGCAGCCATTTTCCCTATTTCATTTGGTCATTTTACCAGGCTCCCGAGGAGAGTTATACAGTATGTCTGGGACTTGAGAAAAAACAAGAGCCAGCACTACCTTCTTCCCACCAATTAATTCTTTCTCCTGAAAGCAGAGAAAAGGAGACAGGGCAGACGGGGCCTTAGAGATGCTGGTGCCTTTTGAAAATGATGGAAATAAGGCCAGCACTTTATCTTGAACCACAGGGACTAAGTAATAGTGGTGGTGATGGTGAAGAAGACGAGGCGGTGATGGCTGTGACAGGGATGACGTGGTGGTTGACTGTGATGATGACAATAGTGATGACGGTGGTGGCAACGCCGTTGGTGATGGTGGCGGTCAGCGGTGATGTCACCATGGTGATGACCACGGACGTCGGAAGATGATGACGACGGTGGCAGCGGTGATGTCAGTACCAGTGGAGAGGCTGTCGGTGGAGGGGATGTGTGGGGGATGGCGATGGTAGCAAAGGCGAAGATGGTGTAGAAACAGCCTGATTACAGGTTTTCAGTCACTGCAGGTAATCAAATAAGAAAGGTAAAGGAAACCCCACAAATACGATTTTAGCTGAACGTTTTGTCATCGGGCTTAGCCCGTTCTGCTGCAGCAGAATCACTAACCCTCTTTGCAGAAAAGGAATTTTCAGGATGCGCCAGAAACATGAGTAGGGTTGGTTAGGTAAAGACGGAGCAAAAGCATTTATTACAGAGCAAAACAGAGCAGCCTTTATGGTAAAGCGAAAGCAAAGGGCCCCCAGGCGGATGAGCCCCGGGAGGGGCCCCAAAAGCGTTACCCAAGGGACTCTTTTGTCTAGGGGCCTTTATACCTAAAAATGATTGTATCTCAGCCAAACTGAGCTCGAACTGTGAGGTCACAATCAGGAGAGTTCCATGTTAAAATAGACCCATAGGAGCTTGGGCTGTGTAGCGGGTGTGCTTTTGCAAGCACCATTAAGTATAACTTCAAATGGAACAAAGACATTCTTTAGAAGGGAATGAGTATCTTATATCATGAGAATCTCTCCAGTCTAATGAGGCCTTTGTTCGCTGAGTCTCTAGGTGCCTGGCCTTGGTCATCGATGTGTCCTTCATCGAATCTTCTTGACTCCCTCTTTGATTTGGCCTTCTCCTGGCCGCCAGTAACTCCCTTTGCCGGGATCCTGCCTGCAGCCTCCGCACATGCACCAACTGCCAGACTCCTATGTCTTACTTTCTTCATTGAGTCAATTCATGGCCCTCAGTTGTGTCCTGCAACTTACAATCTTACGAAGTATAGTTGTTAGTTATGATTTCTTTTTCTCCTTACTACCTTTTATGTCTTCCACCCAACCAAAATTTCTAACCTCTTTTTATCCCCACATCTGTAAAAGATTTAGCAATTGCCAAAAAGGTCCAACGTGGGTGTTACACACTCTCTTTTCATCTTCTACTAACAAATACCAAACTGGGTTTATTTTACAGCAGTCACTGAATACTCATAGAATCCAAACTGCATCCTAGGAACAATGTGGGGCTCTGGCAGTGCCTCTGCCTGGAGAATGATTTCTGTCTCTGTGGTGCTTGCATCGCAGTCAGTGGGCAGTGTGATCCCAAGTAATCATAACAATGCCCTGTAGTTGCATAGCACTGTGTGTGCTTTTCAGAGTGCTTTGCATACCACAGTGCTACCTTATTAGAAAAGTTGACTTTGAAATTTTATTAAATGTGCTTGGGTACTTCTTCTGCCACTGATGTTCCTTGCTGTTGGAACAGTAGTCTGAAGCATTCACAGATAGACAACAGCGGGAAGTGTGTTCCAAAGGGGATAAAGCCGAGCTCCATGTCAGGCACTCAAATGAAAACCTGTTGCTTTAGGGAAATGGATAAAGTTAAGAGGTGGCAGAGCTGCTGGCCTGCAGAAAGTCACACAGGAGGCACTCAAAGATTTTGAAATAAACATTCAGTGGGCTCGGTTTAGCTTTGCATTAAATCCAATCTTTGTAGCTTTGTCTTTTCCTCTGAACTTCGCAAGATCTTATTCAGAATTCCCTAAGGAGGCTAGCTGGTGTTCCAAGCAAAGGAAGTGCTGTAAAATACGCATGGCCTCTTGAGGGTGCAGCAATGACTTCATTCCCCTAGCTAGACCATGGATGTGCTCAAATCCTTGGTGCAAATCAAAACTCCCAGCTACTGTGGGGAAAGCAGAATCACCAGAGAAAAGCATGCCAAATTTGGGCTCTACTTTTAAACCTTGTTATGCTACTCCTGTTATCTTCCCAGCCAATCGACTTTGTCTAGTTTTACCCTCTCTGGAGGAGGTACATTTGCAGTTGCATCTCTTATATTACACTTTTATGATTTGCTCTTTCTGAGATTGACTTATTGATGGCCAATGTTGTTGTTGACAGAGCCTTTTGAAGATGCTCTCAAGAACCAGGCCCTGGGGACCATGTTGAGCAAGGCCGCCTCTGTGGAGTGCATCAGCCCTGTCTCACCCAGAGCCCCGGATGCCAAGATACTGGAGGAGCTGCAAGCTGAGCCTTGGTACCAGGGAGAAATGAGCAGGAAGGAGGCAGAGGGGCTGCTGGAGAAAGATGGAGACTTCCTGGTCAGAAAGAGCACCACCAACCCCGGCTCCTTCGTTCTCACGGGCATGCACAATGGACAGGCTAAGCACCTGCTACTGGTGGACCCCGAAGGCACGGTGAGACATGGGGTAGGGTCTTTTAATCGGCTCCTACCTACCTTGAACTATCTCTACTTAGCATGTGTGCCTGCCAGGGACAGGGTACTTATGCCTTGAGGCAGTGGTTGTCATATGTGGTTGGGGCCACATATGAGTCATAAAACGTGGAAAATTATAATGGCCCAGGCTGAACTTTAAGATAAATAAATACAGAAACTTTGGCTTACGATATGGAGATTACATATCACATATCATATTCAGAAGTTCTTGTGGTTGGGATTAAAATTTAAATGTGAAAGACAGAACTATAAAGCCATAAAGATAATTATTAAGAGAAAAATCTCTAAAGAGAACATTTTTCTTCCAAATACATTCCCATTAGACAAAGAGATACAGGCTCCTAGGCTTGTTTTGTTTTGCTTTGGTTTGGTTTTTTGAGACAGGTTCTCACTATGTACTCCAGACTGACCTGGAACTCACTATGTAGCCCAGGCTGGTCTTGAACTCACAGTGATCCTCCTGCCTCAGCCTCCCAAGTGCTGGGATTACAGGTTCCTAGACTTTTAGAGTATATCTCAAATTTGTAAAAGTTGAATAGCTGAGATATTTATGTCAGTTCTCAAATATGGTGGCCAGTAAGTGAAACGTCATTAATTAGTCGATTATTTTCCAACTCAGAGAAGTTATGATGCATAGCCATACAGTTGCATCTGAATAATTTTATTACTGAGGCTGAATTGTTCACCTTCCAGTCAACATATGTGTTTGACTTCACCTAGGGCCTCGTCCAATAAATACTCAGTTTAATAAATGCAATTAAATCAATTTAACTATTGAGTAGATTCCATAATTGTTTAAATCTTCTTATCTGGTTAAAACAAAAAAGCAAGGTAAAATTATTTAAGTAGAATTATTTAAATGTTTGATTACAGAAGTGAAGCTTTAGTCTTTGGTTGGACTGGAACACAATTTCCCTGGGTGTGTGGTCCAGGTGGGAGTAGGAGCATTGTTACCTTGGGCTCTAGACTGAGGTGCCCATGCACCTCCACTTGTGATGTTCTTGAAACATCAGTGTGTGCCCAGTTTAGTTTCTCTTTCCTTTCCACTGAAGCAACCACTTTCCCATGGGTGGAACCTAATAAATGTGACCACTTCCTTCCAGTCCGCCTTCAGTATATATATATTTCTTTGTTTTAACCCCATCAGGTGCTCTGAGATATGTCAGAAGGCTGCCTGGACTCTGTCGTAGGTAGAGACGTTCCCTTGCTCAGCTCTCTGGAGGAGGGTGTCTAAGCTGCTGCAGACCTCACACAGGTTTCTTTCTGTACCTGGGGCAGTCTCACAGGGACAGGTGTCAGTAGGGTTTTTGGCCCCTGCAATTGCACACATTTAGTTTCAGTAGGGTTTGCAGTTGCTTCCATGTTAGCTGCACCATGGAGGCCCACACCAGCAGACCTCGAGGGGCCTCGCAGCCTCGCTCTCCCTCCACAGTGAGGCTCTAATTTTGCTAACGAGTGGGAGTAAGGAGTAAGGCGAGGTCTGGTTGTCTGATTTGCAACTCTTTGATTGTGTGTCATTAGCAGATTAGTAGGTTAGATTGGGTATCTCCTGGAAATTTTATACTCTTATATTTTACTCATATTTTTCTTTTGACTTTCTTACTGAGTTTTCTTGAAATTTTTTGGGGGGAGGGATTTTTGTTGCTGTTGCTATTGTCTTTTGTGGTTATATGGTAATTTTGCCTATGATGTTCTTCATCAAATAGAAGTATTGCTTTGGAGAATAGCCAACTGCATCAGTTTTTCCTTTTCTGAGTTCTAAATTTTATATATTGCAAATAATACTGTATTCTAATATCTGTTCTATTTATAAATTGCAAATATGCTGTATAATATTTTTGTCTATTAGCTTTGTAGTTTCACCTTTCGCAATTAGGTTTGAATTCCAGCTGTTGGTACTTTTGACTACACTGTGAAGCCATTTTGGTTTTGTCACTATTTACCAAGTCGTTCCTTTTTCTCCATTCTCAATGCCCTTTCTATAACATGCTGGGTCCTCTGGCCTCAGCTCTGCCTCTGGACTTGTGGTTCTAGTCTGTTGGTCTGACTGCTTGTTCCTCATGTGTTTTGTTTTAATCGTTAGAAATCTGGAGCGGTTGTAACATCTGGTGATGTGAGTCCTTCCTGTTGATTCTCCTCTATCCAAATGGTCTTAGCTTTTCTTAACCCTTTGTTCTTTATTTAGAGTCAGTTTGCCCAGTCACCAAAAACATGCTATGATTTTGATGGGATTTGCATTGATTGTATAGATTAATCTTGTGGAAGAGCAGATGGTTTTCAATGTTCGATCCTCATATCCTTGAACATGGTCCAAGCCTCCACTTACTCTGTTTTTAAGGCATCTTTAATAGTTGTTAAATTCCCTCCAGAAAGCTCTTGTTTCTTCCTTTATGTTGTTTCCTAGGGTGTCTAGTTTTAGTTCCTGTTGTAAACAATAAATTATTTTAGCTACTCTTCTTCAACAATGACTGCTGCGGGAAGAGAAATGTGGTGTCTTCATGAACATTGGTGGTCTGTCTCCTGCTTGCCAAACTCTCCTTGCACCTCTTCTGGCCCCACTGCATGCGGCACCTTCAAAAACTGACCAGGAGGGGACATCCTTATCTGCACCCCTCCGTAAGGGAAGATTTCAAGGCTCTGTTGTATTAAAAGGAGGTTTGATCTGGGCTCGGTGGTCCATGTTTTTAATCCCAGCACTCAGGAGGCTGAGGCAGGAAGATTGACATGAGTTTGAGGCCAGCCGAGGCTACACAGTGAAACTCTATCTCAAAGAACCAGAAGAAAAGAAAGAGGAGAAAGAGGAGGAGGAGGAGGAGCAGGAGGAAAATTTGATTGGCTTTTGGTACATTGTCCTTTTCAGCTTAAAGGAATTCATTTATTCATTCAACTGAATGCCAACTCAATCCAGATAATCATTTTAGCACCTGGTATGTATCTGTGAACCATTTACCAAGAAAAATTCTGCTTTGGTGGAACTTACATATACATTATTACCTAACTACTTTTATCATATACAGGTATTGAAGTACATCAAATTTCTCTGCAGCATCATTGGAGATAATAATGTGTTTTTTTCTTAAATCTGTTAAAATGCAGAGTTATAGGAGTAGTTTATTTATTCCTCGATGTCACGATCCTATTGCAACTGCTATTTTGACATGTAGTAACTGTGAAATATGTTGTTGGGTTTTCTTAAGGTTTTTTCAGAGTCTGTGTTCATAAGTGAAGTTCATCGTAATTGTCTTTGTTGCTTTTGTGTGCGTGTTCAGCTGGTCTGGGTAGCAAGGTGGTGTGGTCACACTTACCTTTTTTTATTTTTTATCTTTTTTTGAGTGGGGTACCTGGGATTGAACTTGGGTCCTTGAGCTTGCAAGGCAGGCCACCAAACAGCTGAGCTGAATCCCCAGCCCTATTTTTTTATCTTATTGATAAGTATTTAAGTATACAGTACAATTGCATTCATCATTGGGATATTGTACCCTTACAAGACAGATCTTGGTTCTCATTTTTTCCCCATACACCTGCCCTCCTTTCACCCCCTCCACCCTCCCCTATTTACAAAGACTTTGTTTCCATTTTTTCCTTTTCTCATATTTTTTCTTGTCCCTTATTTCCTTTCCCCTACCCTTCCCACTTCCCCTATACCTTTAGCCCTTTTCTTCCTATTTCACAATGTCAGTTATACAATTTGTATACAGTTATACAATTTACACTTTTACTTTTTCACACCAGAGAAACTATCTGGTATTTTTACATGTGTGTCTTGTTTATTTCACTTAAGAGAATCAACATAGTGAAAATGGCCATACTACCAAAACTGCTATACAGATTCTGTGCAATCCCAATTGAAATTCCAATGGTATATTTCACAGAACTAGAGAAAATAATCCAAAAATCATTTGGAACCATAAGAGACCTAGAATAGCAAAAGCCATTCTAGGCAACAGAGACATGACAGGGGTTATCACAATCCCCAACTTGAAACTGTACTATAAAGCCACTGTGATAAAAGCAGCATGGTACTGGCAAAGAAACAGACCCAGGGATCAGTGGAATAGATCAGAAGATATGAAAACAACTCCAGAAGTACTCAGCTACCTCATTTTTGACAAAGGAGCCAACCATCCTCAGTGGAGGAAAGATATCTTCTTTAATAAATTGTGTTGGAAAAACTGGATTTCAACCTGCCAAAGATTAAAACTAGGCCCTTATCTTTCACCATGCACTAAACTAAAATCCAAGTGGATTAAAGATCTAAATACCAAAACAGGAACTCTAAACTTACTGGAAGATAGGTTAGGCAGAACTCTTAAAGACATTGGCATAGGAAAAGACTTTATGAACAAATCCTCAGTAGCACAGGAACTAGCACAAAGAATCAACAACTGGGGGGGTGTCTCATCATATTAAAAAGCTTCTGCACTGCAAAATAAACAACAGAGCTAAGACATAACCTACAATGTGAGAAAAAAAATTTACCAGCTGCTCCTCAGACAAAGGACTATTATCTAGAATATATAAAGAGCTCAACAATATCAGGCCCCCAAATAGAAAGACCCAACTCAAAAATGGGCATCTGAAATGAACAGACATTTCTCAGACAAAGAAGTAAAAGCAGCAAATAAATATATGAAAAAAATGTTCCATATTACTCGTCATTTGAGAGATGCAGATGAAAACAACACTGAGACCCCATGTCACTCCAGAAAGAGTGGCTGCTATCAAGAAATCAACCAATAACAAATGCTGGTGGAGTTGTGGGGAGAAAGGAACCCTTCTCCATTGTTGGTGGGAGTGCAGACTGGTGCAACCACTATGGAAATCAATATGGAGATATCTCAAAGAACTAGGATTAGAGGTTCCATTTGACCCAGCTATTCCTCTGCTGGGTACCTTTCCAAAAGAATTAAAAGAATCATACCACAGTGATATATGCGCACCTATGCTTATAGTGGCACA